GGCCCGTGTTCCACAGCGATCTGATAAGAAGGAGCGAGGCTAAATGGCAAATGGCAAACATCCCAAATCGCAACCTGATGTATTTCCACAGCCCTGACCTTCAGATAAAAATCGTGCAGAAATCTGCAAACCCACCAAATATGCAGCACCACATGCTTCAAGCATTTTCAGACACAACAGTCGGGGGTGAAAAAAAAAAAAAAAGAAAAGAAATAAGGGCGTTGCTATTTAAAGCCTTTAGCCTTCCCCTCCCTTAGAATTTAAGGATTATGCTCCTATACGGCACGTACGAGGGTGCATATAGACAGACACCATCAAACCTAAAGGTTTCTCACATCCACAGAGGGTACTGTGGGCTTATAGCTGCCTATCTGTGAACATCAGGGAAACATATTATATATAAGGAATATATCCCACTGCTATATTATATGTATATTTAGGAAAATACTTCAAACAGCAAAAAATTTTGCACTGTGAAATTAGCTAAAATTATGACAACTGTAAGAAAAAAATTATACGGGCAAAATTTGGGTCTGGTGGAAGAATTCTTTGATGTCTGGATTCCAATTTAACCCCGACTGAGTTCTAAGAATCAAATGAACAAAGTATATCATACACCCCAAGTCTGCTTGTCAGTGCTAGTCATCATTTTTATTTTATTCTTTCCAGCCACATGTATTTACAAGACCCTGTTCTGACATTTCCTCCCTCCTCACTGGATACGGCTAGTTGCCAAACACATTTGTGACACAGTCCAACTCTGTATTTATTTATTCATTAAAACACATGCATTAGTATCAATAAATATGTATAACAATATTTTCTTCACATTGCCGTATAGATTCCTTCCACAGTCATGTCTCTAGGTTGGGTGCTGTGTGGTAAACATATAGAAATATGTGCACATCTAATATTTTTTAAATATTTTTAGTCAAAAGACTGTGTCATAAACGTTGCATCTGCACCTATATAAAAATCCACCATGGCTGGGGATAGCAGTACATTTACTAAATAAGACTATAGGTTAAATAATAAAACCCTGCTTAAATACACATTAATATTTTCAGTATTAGTGCACCAAGGTGCTGACTATCGATGGCATGCATTAGGGAACATCACCTTTATTTTATACAGAGGCATCAGCATGAAGTCTCTAGGAACTGTACATATTACAGGCTGAATAAATAGCATAATCCCTATCATTTTTGTGTTTTGCGTATAAAAATCACTTTTCTTCAGGTACTGAACCACTTTATCCTATAAACCTGAACCCAGCTTCAGGATTTTTGAAGCAGTTGTAGAACATTAATAATATATCTAGGTTGTTTAAAGAATATTTCCAAATAACATGAAATATTTAGTCTACCACCACCACCCCCCCGCCGTCCCCACCCTCAACACTACCACCACCATAAAAAGATAAGATTTATCATGAAATGTTTGAGGGGTAATCAGCCATTTTTGGCCAATATATTTTAATATTTATATACCTGACATAGCTGAATATAAATGATACATCATGATTTTCCATAGTGCATGGAATTTATACAATTAACTGAGTGATCCAATGGCTTTAGGGCACACAAGGTGCAAACAATGTTACAGTGGTTTGCTGATGATTGTTATAAATCTTACAAACCATAAAGACATTAAGGTGCATTTTGTTTACACCATTTATTTTCAAATATTATATACACCGATATTATTTATCATTGAAAGAGTTACACTTTCCCAGTGTATTTATTTCATGAGCTACATTTATATAACTATTTAAAAAATACAGCTTGCAAAATACATGTCTGAAATAGGCAGTAAAATTTGATCATTTTCAAGTTATTTCTAAAGATTATGGTTTTTCATTCTAAAATCGAGAAAACAGTTAAACATTACCTATATCTGAAATGCCTAATTTAAAGAAACACTTAGACCAAGAAATCCGCTGTAGGTAGATATACCCTGCACCCCCAGAACCATACATGCGTGCTTTTATCGAAAAGCGCATCCATCCCTCCATCTCCCCTCAGCAGCGCAGGAGGTGCAGCCTGCTCCCCCGCAGCATGCTGCTTCGACACCGTTTCTTACCCACGTTTTAAAAACCCAAACCACGTAGTTTGAAAAGCTTAATCTACAATTTCAGAGAGAAAAACATTTACAAATACGCAGCCCTGGATTTCACAGTATGAATATGTATTTTTCCTGGAAAGAGCTACGTCCTCTGCCTCTCTATTCCTATTACATATAGATGCAGGAGTACTGAGCGTATATACTTACAAATAAAAATTCCCCCAAATGTTCCCGAACGGCTATAATGTCCTAGTATTGTTTCAATTATTTTCATTTGGGTTTGCATGGTTTTTGAAAGGCCGTAGCCCCAGTATGTGAAATTTGAACCACCAACGGTCCTGAGCGAGCCCTGGCAGCGGTGGGGTTGTCCACCCGTTAGCAAAAGGGACCCGAGCGCTGCAGCTGCTTATCAAATCAGTTTTATGTTTCTGAAATGAGTTCCTGCTGCTGAGCCTGAATTCATAGACAGTCAGGGGAAAAAAAAAAAATAGATGGATATAGCCCAAAACAAAACCTCTGAAAACACATCTAGGGTCCTGTCTCTTTGTGCACGTATAGAGACAGATGGGTATATTTGTTTTATACCTATGGAAACACGACATGCCGATTACATGTATGTGTGTGTGTGTATTGTATAGAAAATCCCTGCCAAAAAAAAAACATGTTATAAAGCCCTACGTTCTTGCTGTAGTTTTGTTTGCTTTACCAGAAGTAAATGAGTACTGTCCCTTTTTGCTGCCTTTTTTGCAGCACTGGCAGCCAGGTTTCTTTCTGATATTTTTCCATTCAGGAGGCACACGCATCGCTTGCTGAACGCAATCCCGTTTTTTCTTAAATTTACATTTTTTTCTTCAGCTAAACCAATCGGAGCAATAAAAAAAGCAAGCACAATTTCGCTGTTTACTGTCCTTTTCCAACATGAATATAAGACCAGCCCTGTGAGCTACCCAGAATTTGCTTTTCTTTTTAGTACTTACTGGCCTGCTTAATGGTTTCTTTCTAATGTACATAAAATATAGAAGTAGAGAACAGAAACGTGGAAATGGACAGAATTGTCTGTTGACTTCAGGCATCGGAAGTGTTTTGTTGCAAATTCGAAGGTGCTAAAATCTCATCAATGAGTGGGAAATAGTGCTAAATACAAGCTCTGCTAACTTTATTTTTAATGATGACTTTAAAAAACGGGGATCAGCGAGGTGAATGTAAAAACTGTTAATCTTAAATTTCTACAAACCCAAGTGTCAGGGCAAGCATGTATGGTGCATCAAGCATAACAAGATGAAAACGAGGAGGTGTGGGTGAGGAGGGGGTCCGAGACACTTGCTTTTCTTGAATCCCTCTGAATACATTTCACAATTCATCAGTTTTTGTCTTTCCTGCCACGAGTGAGGACAATCAGACCAGACACCCATTAGATTTTTCATGCAATTTTTTTTTTTCTTGTTCATGACATGTTGGCAGGGAGGATGGCAATTCTGAAATCTTACCAAATGAGAAAAATGTCAGAAACTGAACTGACAGCTAGTGGTTACTATGGTGATAGGTGATATTGAAAAAAAAATAAAATAAGACTCAGTTAATTCAAAAGGAATCAAGTTCAGTATTTTTAAGCCAGTTGATATAGATGAAAACTTAATCCCGATACTGGGATGTTATCTTGTTTTAGCTAAGAGCCAAAGAAACCATTTGCTTGATTAGATAATTAACTAGATACAACCAAATATACAATGAAAATTACAGTTAAACCAAAAATAAAAGAATATTAATAATATGTTTATAAACAAGAAACAGTCATATTAGGAAAAAAAGCAGATTAGGGAACATATTCTGCCTGTACGAGCAATCCAGAATCGTCCTCTCCACAATCACAATTACCTACACGGGTCCAGTTTTCTCCCATCAGTTTTGAGAGAGAAAGAGTAGTTTCGTTCAGTGACAAAGACAAATCAGCTGGAAGGTGAGGAAAGCTGCTGACTGATGTCTTCAATAGAAAGAAGGCTGCGCATGCAAGTTCTGCAGAAACCTGAATATCTCCATATTTGTGTTTATGTATTTTATGGGCTTTTTAAAAATTCTCAGGGGAGCTATTTATGGGGCCAAAATAACGCGAGATCTGGTGTTCGCATGGTACTTCCATCGAGGAATTGAAATACTAAAATGCCATGAGAACATCAGATCTCATGTTATTTCGGCTGCATTAATGGTTCCCTTAGGTATTAACAAAGCCCATGAAAAACAAACACAAATATTTGAGGCAGAAATATAAATGCTGGAATATCCACCGCCCCCCAACAGAAAGCCAGTACACCGCACACAAAAAAACCTGCCTTTCTCTTCTTTGATCGCACATCCTAAAGAAAAAACTGTGTAACTGTGCACACGTAAAATTAATATTATATTGAAATTACTTGGCAACCACCTCTGTCTTTCTGGCAGAAATTTAGTTTGCTCCCTAACGACCCCTGAGGAAGGTTATCTTAATACGGACGCACGTGAGGTTTTAGGGGTACTGCCGCGAAAAACAACTTTTGAACGCAAAGATCGCCAAGACAATTTGAATTTCGAACGCGCTCCCTAGGTGGAAGTGGGAGAAGCGATGGATGGACGCGCGCCTCAACCGCACAAAAGGTAGCCCTCCTATTTCGGGAGTTCGACCCGTTTCTGCGTTTATGGACGCCGCAATCACCGTTCTGCTGGGGAGGAGACCGAAAAGGGAAACGTTAAGAGAAACCCGGGTCCTTCCAGAACTGCGAGTTCGGAGGCAGACGCAGGATCCTTATTTATAACAACCAGTTGGTGTTTAATGAGGGGGGGGGGGGGGGGGGGGGACGGGCGCGGGGCCCGCGCGCTCCGGCGGGCGACACCGCCACCT